GAAGATTACGGCTCAGCTAGGAGTGGGTATCCACACTCGAATCTCGCTCTCTTGGAGCTTCCACGGTTCTGAACAAAGGTCTTACTCTTACCTCAATATTTAATGGCCGATGATTTTCCTAACACGTATTAGTACTTAATTATGATATTATGTGGGAGAGAAAAATAAATTAACGAGCGGGAAAAATTTTAATCCGCCATTAAAATGATTTTTCTTTTTTTTAACTAACCAATTAAATTATATTCAGTTCATTAATAAATAAATAAATAAACCAATCCTTTGTGGGAAGTTTGAGCTGAATTTTGATGAATTATTATTAAATTTAATGTTTTTGGACCATAAATAAAAATTAAATTCATAAACATTTTCTCCTAAAACGCTTGTGCCCTCATCCCTATAGATCCAAGGAGTTGCTTGTTGATCTCTAAGTACATTTGGTTGTTAACTTCTTGCATCGTTGCCACTGTTTCTACGATCGATTGATGTCTCACCTATATAGATACCTACATACATAGTGTAGTGTTGGTGGCACATTCAACATAACATTCAGACTGAGCCTGAGCCTGTTGCCACGTTGGGTTAGGGACCTCCACCCCCCGTCCTTAATGTCATTCCCACCTTCCTCTTGTATATTACTAGCAATCCCTCAAATGAGCCAGTGACTTACCCGCATATCAATTATTCTTATGAAACAACCTCGTACTTGATCGAAAATGATAGGACATTAAACCTCAAGTAAATGATCAATAAAGATATTCTTATTACTTTCCATATTCAACTCAGAGCCAAAGAAAGAAGCATGTTTCCCTGGAATCCGAATGGGTAAGGAAAAACTGGAAGAATCAATAACTGCAACTGAGAAAAATCAATCAGTATTTACAGAACCAGCAGCCAGCAAGCAATAATGTGTAATTCTTGCCTCAATTTTGTATCGCCTTGCTTCTAACAATTCACCTCATATGCCACTTCCAATTTTAATTTAAGTCTCCACTCTATGCAACCTCTCATGGCTAACAATAAATAAAAGCCAGTGAAGAAGAAAAACTTCCAGCCCAGATTCAAACAGAACAGATCAAATTTTCCTAGATCCTCCTCGTTGGTTATAGTCGTGCTTGATCAGATTTGCTCTCAGTAGCATCGATCGGATTTCACGATCGAAGTCGCTCCCTGTTTGTAAAACCCTTTGGAAGGTTGCATTCCGCTGATCCGCATGCCGAGCATAAAGAATTTTGTTGTGCGAGTCGATTCTTGCCTGCAAACATGATTGGCACAATTGATAAATAGTAACAAAGCGCTTGAGTTGAAACAGTTACATCCGTTTGAATATTCCATATACTCCAAGAATTAGTCCAAAGTAGTATAAAACTGGGACCAATATGATCGGTATGCACAACAAAAGAATAACAGTTTAGAAAATAAAAGAAAGTCTACCACACAAAGAACGTCATCTAGAGGCATAGATAAAAAAAAAAAAAAAAAAAAAAA